TATTTAATTAATAATTTTTTTAAGAGTAGATAATAGATTTAGAATTTATTAATATTAACATTGAAATAATAACTTAATATTATATTATATTAAATTTATCAATTTAGAAATTTATTTATTTAGAAAAGAAAAGAATTCTACATGCTGTTTACTATATACTTTTTATAACAATATATTGTATTTTCTTTTTTTATTTAATCTTATTTAAATAGGTAATAAATAATATTAGAAATTTTATTTCGTTAATAATTTATTATTAAAAGCAGATTCAGAATTTTTTAATTATAACACTAAATTAATAAATTAATAATAATATTAAATTTCTTAACTTAGAAATTTATTTATAGAGAAAAAAAAGAAAGACAGATTTGTTGTCGAATTAGAAAATATTGTGGACAGGGAAAAAATTGCCAAGAGACGAGATTTAGTGTTTTGTTTTGGACTTTTATTGAAATTATTATTCCCTCTTCTTCTTTTCTTTTTTTTGGCTGCAATTGGATTGGAATTAGATTAGGTTGTAAAGTTATATGTAATTGTTATTATCGGGTTCTTGCTCCACGAAGGGCAATAAGGAAATTGATTACTTTCTGAGATAACAACTATAACGACTCGCAAGAAGAACAATTTGAAAGGGTGTATGGATTTTCAAACGTTAAGCGAGTAACTTTTACACGTGGAGAAAAAATAAATACAAACTAATTTCAGATAAAGTTCTCCTCATTTTCCTTCTTGGGAACATTCCAAAGTTATTGAATATATATATTTTTTTTTTGAACTATAGAGCAAACATTTTTATTAGCTAACTAAACAGTGGCGATTTTTTCGCATATTTCAATCATTTATTTATTTACAATTATTATCATTTTATTTCTTTAAATATTTTGCACGAAAATTGTAAAGAAATTTGTTAAAATTGTTTTTAAAAAGAATTAAAAAATTGATAAAATTTAATAAATTAGAAAAATGGTAAAGTGGTTAAAAAATTAAAAATTGGTAAAATTAAATTGAATTAAAATTGGGAGGAAATTTAAAAAAAATTGTTTTTTTTAAATATTTGTTCTTGTTTTAGTAATATTCCACAATAACTTTTCGTCATGCGTAAAAATTGCTCTATCATTCGAGAAAGAAGATAGGGTAACAAAGCACATAAATGCAGGGTCACTGATTACACACGAGTAATGTTCGTTCCTATGGGAGAAAAAGTGCAATACGTGGAAATAGTAAACGCAACTCGTAAACCGGTTTATGAATAATGTAGTGCACATTAATAAGGAATTTTCAACGACACAACTATAATTTCAAAAAAAAAAGAAAAAAAATTCCCCGCTCTTTGTAATTCAAAATCAACGTCCATTTATGGAAAAGTATTAAAAAAGTGAATAAAAATAAAAAAAGTAAAAAAAAAACTATAATATCAAATAAATAACAATTATCATAAATATTATATTCTACTAAATAATAAATAACAAATTATAATAAATAATGAACAACAGATTATAAAATTTAACTTTAATTGTAAAATTATTATTTATTCAATACTAAACAACTATATTTTTATTTACAGTTACTTTCATTAATATTTTATATTAAATTAATTTTAAAAATTTTTTTAAATTCAATTATTTTTAGTATTTACTGTTTTCAATTATTTTTAATACAATTTTTATTAAATTTCCCGAAAAATTCAATTATTTTCAGAAACAATAAAATTTATTACAGAAATTCAATTATTTAAAAAAATTACAATAAAGTTTCTCGCAAGAATTCAATTATTTTCATAAATGTTAAAACTCATCATTGCAGGATTTCAATTATTTTTAATAAAAAATTAAATGAATTCCTCGATAAATGCAATTATTCTTTTAAATTTAAATAAATTTCTTCGCAAAAATTCAATTATTTAAAAAAAAAAAAATAATAAATTCGTCTCAGACATTCAATTATTTTCAACATATTTGTAATTAAATTTCTTGAAGGAATTCAATTTTTTTTCAAATTTTTCGTATAACTGACATATTTTGATAATGATTTTAAAAAAATCAATTATTTTCAAAAATTATAATAAATTATTTTTAAAAATTCAATTATTTACATTCACAGATAATAAAAATTTTCACAGAAGTTCAATTATTTTTAATACAATTGTCATTAAATTTCCTGAAAAAATCAATTATTTTCACAAATAATAAAATTTATCACAGGAATTCAAGTACCTATTTAAAAAAATTATAATAAAGTTCTTCGCAATAATTCATATTTATTTCCATAAATGATGAAACTCATCGCAGGATATCAATTATTTTTAATATAATTTTAAATAAATTGCTCGAAAAATGCAATTATTCTATTAAATTTAAATCAAATTATTCAAAAGAATTCAATTGTTTAAAACAATTTGATGTAATTTATTTATTACAATTTAATAATTATTTTCAATACTTCCGGAAAAAATTCAATTATTTTCACAAATAATTAAATTATTCTTAAAAGAATTTAATTATTTTAAAAATTTTTTGATAAAGCTCTTTATAAGAATTGAATTTTAAGAAAAATATTCAAGTATTTAATAAATAATTCATTTTTGCATTTAAATAATTTAAATTCTCTTTGAATTTTCTAATAAAAATTAATTTAAAATTGAATTTCAGTTTAAGTTTTAATTGTTTTAATTTGTATACGAAGCTTGACATTAAAAAAATATATAGTCATGGTTGGACTATGTCTGAAAATCGAAGTGTATTATCAGTAAAAGTAAAATAACATTTCTTTAAAAAATAGCTGTGTGGTCCTACCTTGACTAAGGTCCAACCCTGACTATTATAATAATTAAAATTCTAAAATAAATAGAATTAAAATTGAAATAAATATTCTATATAAATATTTTATAATTTATTATTTATGATAATACATTATTTATTTATTATACAATTTTCTACGCTGAATTTTTATTCATCGCTTAAAACCACTTTTTTATATTCACATTTTTATTATTGTATACCTATATATATTGGAGAAGAAAATTATTGACCTTATATTAAAAAACAATAATTGCGGAGAATTTTAATTTCACGAAAGGGACCTAAGGCAAAATAATTAATTTTCTAACTCCTTTGATGTTATTTTACGGGGAAAAAAAGGAGAAAAAGGAAAAAGGATGAGGTTTGACGAGAGACGGTAGCTGGGAGTTATTAACGAACCTGGAGCTTTGGTTGAGTGTATATCTTTTGTGAGAGAGAGCCTGATTGGAGGATCTTATCGATCGTCTCATCTACGAACTATATAGACTAAACTAAAAGGGCTCAAAGGGCTTAGCAACTATAACCATAGATCATTATATGGTTATTGGAAGTTTCGTAAATCCGTACGCGCACCTAAAACAAAGTAATTTCTCAAGTGCTTTCAATTATCACGTGTGTATATACATATATATTTATAAAGAGAAGCAAACAGGTTCGAAAGTCATTTTTTATATATAGTTTAACATACAAATAGCCTTTTGCCGTTGATAATATCTCTTGGAGCATTCGTCGACTTTTATTTTATTCATATTCCCAAAGTAATACAAACTTAAAAAATTTATATTTATGCAAATTTTTCCATAATTTATATACGATTATGTAAAACTGTAAATACTGTAATTAGAATTTAATTTCCCCGGCGGTATTTAAATTATTTAGAAATTGTTGTCAACAAAAAAAAAAGAATCGTAACTAATAGTTTATTAATTCTGGAAAAAAAGGAAATTATTTTTTCTTTTCTTTTTTCTAGAATTAAAAAAGGAGAAGGTAAAAGATATGGCGAAGAAGGTAGAGATGGTAAATCAGAAGAGGTTTTATATATATATACTATACAGAAGAGTGGGACCGGAAGTGTAAATTCTTCGACCACCAAGCAAGGCAAAACAGTTTCGTTTCTTGCCACAAAAGCAGCTACTGGAGTTTACAACATAATTACAACTCGAGAGTTAAAATACGATAGGCAAATTGTATCCAAAGCTTGTCATGACAATTAAGAGCGCGCCTGTAAGAAAACGAAATGATCTCTAAGGGTCGATTATAAAAGCCTTAAAGTATCCAACAAACATGGTATTATGAGAAAGAAGGTGCTTCATTTTTAGCTGCCAAAGAAATACTTTGAAGGCCTACCTTAATTAACTTTTTCTCGAATTATTTTTGTTACATTTAAAGGAATAAAGAGCAAAACTTAAATCTTGTCTACTTTGTCGGCAATGTATATACCTGTAATCAAAATAACGTAAAGTCGAAGGAAAGCAGGCAAAAACGCAGTTTTTCCCGAAAAAAAAGAGCGAAAGAAAAAGAGATGAGGAAAAAAAGAGGAAAAAAAAACTTTTGCAACTTGTTCAGAGAGGAAGAAAGTAATCATATACGATTGTCTGGCGCTTTGAAACATCCATCAGCTACTACAATATATTGTTTATTTTTCTTTCTTTTTTTACCTTGGAGGAAAAAATTCAAAATTTACATATTCCCTGCCTCTTAAGGGTCGACATTAGCTACTAAAGAAACTACACCTTCGAGTTTTTTTCTACTAGATTTTTATTACCATCTATTTTTATCTATGTTTATTTTTCTATTTTTTTAAAAATAATTAAAACAAAGCGAATCGATATATTCTGCGGATTTACTTTGACTTTTCTTGATTTTTCGAAAATTATTTTTATTTTAAAAAAACAATAGAAAAAATTTATTAAATTTATATTATTTATCAATGGAAAAAATAGTTTTCTATAAGTTAGGCACGTGGATTATTTTTATTTTAGAAAAACAATAGAAAAAATTTATAAAAATTAATATATAATTTATCAATGAAAAAAATAGTTTTATAAGTTAGCTAGGTGGATTATTTTTATTTCAGAAAAACAATGGAAATAAATTATTAAATTTATATAATTTATTAATGCGAAAAATTGTTTTTTGATTTAGGCACGTGAATTATTTTTATTTCAGAAAAATAACGAGAACATTTTTTTTCTGTTTCAGTCACTTGGATTGGAGGGAAAGGTTTTTCAAATTCAGGAGAAACGGTGAGTAGATATTTTTCTGTATTTTTTTACACTTTATTTTTGATTCGTTTAATTTCAATTTTTATTCGAGAAATATCTGATTCGATAGATTTTTTCCTGTTCGACAAAATTTTTCTGTAATCCAAAAAGAAAAATTTACGTTTATTCCACTTTCTGGGTCAAAATGGAAAAAATGGAGAGAATTTTAAAAAAAATTCACGTCAATTAGGAGAATAAAAATTATTGAAACAATTCTAATTTAGTTTGCCACAGTTTATTAGTCATATTTAGACGCATTTATAACGTAGATTTGTAAAAAATTTTTGCTCTCTAGTTTTTTTAGGTAAAAAATAATCAAAAAATGGTTAAGAATAAGAATAAAGGAGAAAAAAATGAGAAAAAACGAAACAATTGTGAAAAATTTCTGCTTTTTAGGTCCAAAAGTCACAAAGTTATTAAAATAAAAAAAGCATTTTTCTAAAATTCAAAATTTATAACTTTTCTGACAAATTTCAGTTCTGTAGGTCAAAATGTCCAAGTTCTTTAAAAGAGGGAAAATTCTACAAACAAAAAATGTGAGGTTTCCTAAAAGATAATACGAAAAAAATTTTGCTAATCTAATGTAATTTATTTACTTACGAAATTTTTACCCCTTAGGTCAATATTTTAATTATTAGCTCAATTATGTTAAAAAATTTCCCTTAATCAATGATTTTCAATATTTACTATTATAATAAAATTATCCAAAAGAATTCAATTATAATGAAAAAAAAATTAATTAAAGTTTTACACAAACCTTTAATTATTTCCTAAAATAATAAAAATTTCAGAGGAATTCAATTATTTACAGATTTTTAATAAATTTCTTCGCAATCATTCAATTATTTTTATAAATAAGAAAACTCATTGCAGAATTTCAATTTTTTTCGTAATTAATAAAATTTTTTTTAGTAATTCAATTATTTTCATAAATTAATACAATTTTAATCGAACTCCTCAAAAAATATAATTATTCTTAAAAATTTTATGAAAATTCGTCAAAAGAATTCGCAATTATTTAAAAATGTATGGATAAAATTCTTTATGGAAATTTAATTTTAAGAAACATTCAATTATTCGATAAATTATTTATTTTTGTATCGAGGAGATGTTGTTCGATATTTCCAAAACTTTCATAAATTTTAAAAATTGTTGTGATGTTGATGGCCGGTTTCAATATAAGTTTTTGAGGTAAAACTTATATTGAAACCCATCAACATCACAACAATTACCAATATTTATTTTTGTATTTAAATAATTGATTTCTAGTAGAATTTTCTAAAAAAATTGATTTAAAAATTAATATCAGTAAAAACTTTAGATAATAATTGAATATTAAAAGCATAATATAGCGTGAATTTTTAGAAATAATTGAATTTTGAAAAAATTTAATGGAATTTGTTTTATATTATTTGGAGTTTTTATTTTCTAATATATATTTAATTGAAGAATTTACGAATAATTGAAATTTCGTAAAATTGAATATTGTTAACAAATGGTTTTGAAAATTGTCAATGAACTTTTTTGAAAATTATGAAAAATAATCGATTTAAAGAAGAATTTTATTTATAAATTTTTGAAAATAATAATTGAATTGATAATGATTTTATCAATTGGTCGTCTTTAATTATTATAAAATTTGTTCATGCTTCCCATCAAGTTTCACATTTTTAGGTCAATTGGTGGTCAACTGTTAGGTCAATTGATGAAATTAGGTAGATTAAGCGATTAGTTTTTCGATTTTTTCTGTTTTTTAAAAAGATATTAATGTTTTCAACCAACTTTTACCTTTTTTAGGTTAATTTTTTTTTATGTTAATTATTAATGTTCTTTACCAAATTTTCACCTTTTTTAGGTCAATAGGTGGTCAACTTTTAGGCCAATTGATAAAAATAGGTAGACTAGACGATTAGTTTTTCGAAAAATTATATTTTGTTTTAATTTTGAAAAAGATATTCATGCTTCTTAGTAATATTTTTTTTTTGTCAATAGTTGGTCAATTTTTAGGTCAATTGATAACACTAGGTGGAAAGGCGACCAGTTTTTCGATAAATTCGTTTCTTTACAAAAATCTTTCTAATATAATAGTCAATCATATATTTTTTCTTTATTCTATTTTCTTTACTTTTATTTCTACTGAAATCTATTTATAAAAATTTAAATTTTTAAATTTCCGGTCGCTCGTTTTAAAAGTCCCGAGAATTAAGAAGAGATGAAACAAAATTATCACGAAGAACCATAAACTTTTTGTTCTAATTTCCTCGCGTAAGTTCCTCGCCAAATTCAATAAATATTTAACTACTTTATGCAATAAAAGCTTCTTTATAATTACATCTTCATAAATGTGGAAAATAATTTTTATAACTAAATTTTAATAACTAAATTATTTTCCAGATTCATGAAGTTGTAATAATAAAGAAAAGTATAATTCCGGAAGAAAGAGGAATACTTGGCTATATTATTATTACTTATTACTACTGTTGAAGGACTTGCTCCTCTTCTTTTTGTCCGCAATTTTTACGATTCGATCAAATGACTACAATTAGCGATTGGTCTAAAAACGAGAAGCTGAATCTTTTTTTGTGCATTATAAATAAAAGAATTATATACATATCCATTATTCCTTTTTAGATTAAGACCTATGATTTCGAATTCTTTTTGTTATGATTTTAGAGTTTGGATATTGTGACTATATATATAGAGTGCGGTCTCCCACAATTTGACGAAAATTGCACACTGGTGAAGCATTGATTAGGGGTGTGCGATTAAACAATCTAGGCCCTCCCTGGTCGAATACTTCTGGGAGGGCCATATTCGGTGGTGGTAGCTGATGCTGCTGCTGTTGCTGTTGCTGGCGAGAGAAGGGAAGAAAGAGGGCTTTTCGTGTATTCTATGCGCGATGAAGCGCCAGCCGTTGTTCCGCAAGAGGAAGATCGCCCTCGGCCATCCGCCACAAAATGAAGCAGTTATACGACCAAACTAATAACATATTTAGGACCGGCATCATCTCGACCTCCCAAGATGGCACGCTTACAAACTTGCCTTTTGCCAAAGTCTTTTTCCATCCATAAAAAAAAACCAGAAATTGTCCATCAATGTGTCCACCTAACTGCTTCATCTTTCATAAACCGTTCGCCCTCTCGAAAAATTATTAAGTCATTCGAAAAACTCATTTTTTTCCCGACCCTCCTCCTCTTTTAGGCAAAGGGTATAAACTTTCTTCAAAAACAGTATAAACTTTGGTCTTCCTTTTTGATTTTCTATTTTTTATTTTTCTTTCTTAAAAGAAGTAAAAAGTGTTCTTAAGAAATGTCCAGGGCAAAAAGGATGAAAAGTTTGTGAATTGAACGATACAATTTGAAGAATTTTTGAGAAATTACAAATTATTGCAGAAATTCAATTATTTTCAAAAGTAAATAAAATTCTTGGCAGAAATTCAATTATGTTTCAAAATTTAACAAAATTCTCGTCAAAATTTCAATTATCTTTAGAAATAATTAAATTCTTCTCCGAAATTCAATTATTTCCAAAAATTTTCCTCAATTCAATGATTTTTAATATCTACTATTTTCATAAAATTTTTCAAAAGAATTCATTTATTTAAAAAAAAAATTATAAAATAATACACAAACTTTTAATTATTTTCAAAAAATAATAAACATTTCACAGGAATTTCATTACTTACAAAGTTTTTTTATATAAATTTCTTCGCAATCATTCAATTATTTTCAAAAATAATAAAATTTTTAGGGGGATTTAATTATTTTTGTAAATAATAAGATTCTTTTTAGAAATTCAATTATTTTCATAAATAATAAAATTCATTGCAGAATTTGAATTCTTTTTAATACAATTTTAATGGAATTCCTCGAAAAAAGTATTCTTAAAATTTTTACTAAAATTCGTGAAAAGAATTCAGTTATTTAAAAATTTATAGATAAAATTTTTTATGAGAATTCAATTTTAGCCTTTTAGGAAACATTTAATTATTCAATAAATTATTATTTTTGTTTTTAAATAATTGAATTCTGAATTTTCTCATAAACATTGATTTAAAAATGAATTTCTGAAATTTTTTCAGATTATAATTCAATTTTAAAAACATTTGAGCGTAAATTTTTAGAAATAATTGAATTTTGAAAATGTTTCAGATTAAAATCTTTGAAAATTTGAATTTTTCATATTTTTCACTGACACTTCTGTGGAATTAATTTTTTTGAGAACAGGTAAATTGCGAATTTTTTTTGAAATTATTTCAAATTATTATATTTTCTAATATATAGGTTTTAATTTTAATTTAATTGAAGAATTTACGAATAATTGAAATTTTGTAAAATTTAATTGTTAACAAATGAATTTGAAAATTCTTAAAGAACTTTCTCAAAAATTATTAAAAATAATGCATTTATATAAGAATTTTAGTTAAAAACACGAAAAAAAATTTAATTTTGGTAAAGTTACAAATTTATTGCAGAAATTCAATTATTTTCAAAAGTAATAAAATTCTTCGCAGAAATTCAATTATGTTTAAAATTATTTACAAATTCTCATCAAAATTTCAATTATCTTTAGAAATAATTAAATTCTTCTCCGAATTTCAATTATTTTCAAAAATTTTCCTGAATTCAATGATTTTCAATATCTACTATTTTCATAAAATTTTGCAAAAGAATTCAATTATTTAAAACAAAAATTTAATAAAATTCTACAGAACCTTTTAATTATTTTCAAAAAAGTATACAAATTTAACAGGAATTTCATTATTTACAAAGTTTTTTTATAAATTTCTTCAATTATTTTAGTAAATAATAAAATTCTTTTTAGGAATTCAATTATTTTCATAAAAAACAAAGCTCATTGCAGAATTTTAATTATATTTAATACAATTTTTAATTGAATTTTTCGAAAAATTTCTTAAAAATTTTATTAAAATTCGACGAAAGAATTCAATTATTTAAAAATTTATAGATATAATTTTTTAT